TGCTAAACATCCCAACCTCTGCAGAGTGTATGCTAGATTTTTCCCCAGCATTTTGAATAATAAACGTCAGTACCTATACATTATTTTCTCTCAGTCACTTATGAGAAGAAATCTTTGAATTCCTGGAGGTGGGGACCACTGAACTCTTTTAACAGAGCGCTTTGGAGATGTTTTGGAAAATGACAACGATCATTTTCATAACCAAGATAGCCTTGTAATGTCATCGGTTTTGTATGAAAAATGCTGGTATGTGTCTGTGGGTGGAACCATTAAATTCTGTCTCTCCAAAGCTGGATTTATTACAACGGCAGAATGTGTTGCAGTTGGAGATAAGAATTTTACTCTATCCCTTGCTAGGTACGTGGCCGTGGGAACGCTGAGCTTCACTCTTTATATGTTGTGTATGTAATACAAGTAATAAATGATATAAAAATATATGTAACATAAAAGTAATAATTGCCTCTCACAGCTACCATGAGTGGAGGCTGTCAGATTTTATCAGAAAAGAAAAAAAAGAAAAAATAGGACACACTGTTAAACTTGAATTTCATATAAATGTTGAAGACAATTTTAGTATAAGTATGTTCCATGCAATATTTGGGACACTTACACTTTAAAAGTTTATCGTTTATATGAAACTCAGATTTCGCTGAGTGTCCTGTATTTCAACTGATGAACCTAGTCATGAGAGTTATTTGGGAGAATTCTCAAAGTCACATGTCAAGCTTTTTTGTTTTTTAATCTCTAGATATTAGTAAATACAGATAGTCCCCAACTATATGATGACTCAGCTTACAGTTTGTCCACTTCATGATGGTGCAAAAGTGACATGTGTTCAGTAGAAATCCTACTTTTAATGTTGAATTTTTATCTTTCCCAGGCTGGTAGTATGTGGTAGGATTCTCTCGTGTGCCATAGGGTCGTGGCAGGGAACGCAGCTCCCAGCCAGCCAGGGGATCACCAGGGTAAACAATTGATATCCTACAGTAGACCATGTTGCCAACATTTTTTGGGATACTGTTTTCAATAAACTACATGAGCTGTTCAACCCTTTATTTAATGATATAACCTTTGTGTTCGACGAGTTTGCCCAGCTGCAGGCTAATGTAAGCGTTCTGAGCACATATGATGTATGCGAGGCTAAGCGATGCTGTTTGGTACGTTAGGTGCATTAAATACATTTTTGACATACAGAATTTTCAACTTACCTTGAGCGTATCAGGATGTAACCCCATTGTAAGTTAAGAAGCATCTGTACTAGCAAAATAGTGTAGTGTTTATGGCTATAGGTTCTGTAGTCAAACATCTTGGGTTCAGGTCCTCACTTCCTTTCTTCTCAGCCTTGTGAACACAGAAGATTTCTTAAATGTCTTCATGTTTCAATGTTCATATCATTTGATGGGAATAACAGTAGTGCTGACCTCATATGGTTGTTGTGTAAATTAAATATAAGGTAATATAAAATGCATAGTCTCTGCCTTTTACATGAGCTATTATTAGCATATCTAATATCCCCTCCAGCTTTTGGATGAGAGTATAGATGTGATAAATACATTGAATGGAGAAAAAGAAAGAAAAAAAATGAGACAGGGAGAGAGGAAGGGAGTGAGAGAGAAAGCCCACAGAGAGGGGAGGGAGAAAGAGAGAGAAAAGAGTCACCTAGAGCACCAAGAAATACTAGAGGAAAACTGACACTCAATTATGGAGGCAGCCACTCTCTCTACTCATAGGCAGGCAAACTTGGCTCTAAAAGTGATTGGTATGGAGGTATTTTGTTTGTTTGTTTTTCCCAAAGGAAATGAGGAACAAAGTTGACTTTAAAAAAAAAAAAAAAAAGAGAAACTGCCAGGATCTTACCTGAATAAATACATTTGGGAAAGAATCCATCTCTCGGCTTCTGTGAAAATAGTGAAAAGATGTGCAGCCCTGACACATTTCAGGAGTAAATTTGAAGAGAACCGTTTCATGCGGTTTCACAAGGAGACCTTAGGGAAGGAGGCCCGTTCAGTAATTAAACCGCACGACGCCCTCCCGCACTGGCAGGCCTGCGGGGATGTCACTTTGGGGATGGGATGCCTGCTCTCCCAGGGGACCATTTCGCTTTGGGGAATCGGAAGCTTTACTTAAAGAGGTCATTTGCTCGGCAGATTCGCACAGCGATTACTGCAGTGACAGGTTTTCTTCTTGTAAGACATGTGGCTTTACCTTTCATTTATTCACGTCGCGAGCCAGGCTGGATCCGTCCTGTGGATGTAGGTCTATTTTAAATGTTTCAGAATAAGGATCTCAGCTACTTTTTTCAAAATGAGAAGGAGGGAATGGAGACGGCTGCTACTTTTACGTTCTCTGAATCCGCCCCTCAGGCCTGCTTGTTATTGGCATTGTCTGGAGGGCAAATGGAGGGGCCTTGCTGCTCAGTGAGCGCGCCTGGTTGACAAGCTCCGCGGGGCCTCTCCTGGACAGCGCGAGTCCCGAGTCCGGGGGACAGAACCGCCCATCCGGCTGTGCGAGAGGGAGGCTGGGACACAGAAGCGAACAATAAGAGGATGTGGCACCGCCGAGGGACTGATGGACCAGGAAAGGAAAGAAAGGGACACTAGCCAAAGCAAATGACTGTGTGTGTGTGTGTGTCCAGTTTGCTTTCTGGAGACAAAGTGTGTGGCAGCCTAGAATCTTCAATTTGGTTATGGGAGGTAACCAAGGTGCATTGTCAGAGACATATCTTATTTGCATTTCTCTTTCCTCACCCATTTTACATAATAAGGAAATACCGAACACGACAGGACAGGACAGGTCTTGCAGGGGGCATTGCAACATCAGGCCTCGGAGTCAATCAGACCCAGGATCACTGCAAACTCTAACTTTACAGCACCTTGGAAAATGTACTTAGCCTCTGCCTTCATGTCCTCATTTTGTAAAAGGGTGATTAAAAACATCAGCAATCTTGAAGGGTTATTTTGAAAGTAAATAAATAACATTTTGTACGTGCTAACCACAGAATCTGGCACAGAATAAACCCCGAAATAATGCGAGCTGCTATGACCACCACCACTATTTCAATGTCTATAGTTTACATAGCACCCACCATTCCTGTACCTATACAGATGGTGTTATACAAATATATATATATATTTATGACTACAAATTATGAGCTCCACGTTCAAGAACTTAGTACTTATATGAAACGTGACCTTCACAACATTGCAAAAAGTTCATCAAAACAGCGAAATGCACATTATGAGATTTTCATTAGTACACATTTTAATTCAAAGTTGTAACATAAATGGATAGCCAAATAAATGTTGACAGAGGCCAGTGAGAATAATAGACGAAATAAAGAGAAAGAAAACAGCACACCAAAAACAAAACAAAAAAACCCTCCATGATTAAAGAATTGTTCATACAGGAAGACTTCAACCCACCGTAACTAGAAGGCCTTGTGTTTTCTGAATCTGAAAATGGTCGCGTCTGGATATATACACTTGAGCTTACCAGTCAGATTTCCACTTTGTAAAGCAGCTAGTTCACATTAGAAAGGAAGTCTGGGGCCAAGAACAAGGCAAAGGCCATGCATCTGTGAGAGGATTACAAATTAGAGCCTTGCAGTCCCACTGTTACAGACCAACTTTATGTCAACATGACCTGTGGAACCAGGACCGTACCTAACACACCCCTCAGGCGCCTCTCTGCCCTCCTGCTGCCCAGTTCACAAGCCGCGTTGCTCTGCAGGACAGTTACACGTGCGATTCTTCCCTGCACTTTTGCTCACAAAAGCCTAATGGAATATGTAATCAGGTAATTGGCAGTACTTGGTAAGCCCTGGAAGATATTTATGGAAAGAAGATAATCTCTCATCGAAACTGAACGGCATTGCTCACACAAGTGACAGGGACATACAGTCTGTCTTAATGAGTATTTCTAAGGCAAAGGGGTGGTGGTAGATACCTTTTGAAAATGCTAGAAAATGCTAAGATTGTAGGTGTTCATCCTTTGACCAAGAGATTAAACATGGATAATTTGTAACCTGTGAAAGATTTTTGCCTGTGGAAAAGGGGGATTAGATTCATCACAACATTTCCCTGAATAAGTTAGCATTACCTTGGGTCATTAGAGTTTGACCTGGTAGAACCGTGTATAAAATGTGTCAAAATCCATTGTAATATTTTTAAATCAGCTAGTGATTAGGGTTGGAGTTGGGTGCAAATTGCATATACATTTTTTGATTCTCCTAAAGTTATAAATTGGAGCACTTTTTAAAGATTCTCACCCTAGATTTTATAGGTTAATAGATAATTAAATTTAAAAGTATATATTTGTTTATCAAATAGTCTACAACTTTTTATAATACCTAGAGATCACAAGACCGATCTTAATTTCTACCAACTTGTACAGAACAAAAGAGCAACTGCATTCTAACATTTCCCTCCATCAGGCAGTGAAAACAATAAACTTACTTTGCTTTCTGTCAAGGACAAAATTGAAAAGGCGATCCATTTATATCAAGGAGCTGATGATATTTATAACCTCAGCTACTTTTAGATTGCCTTCATTATAATTTTATCCTCAATTATCCCATATTAGATTATGTTTAAAAATTTAAGCTAATGTCTCACTATTTTAGAAGAGGCAGGACATGTTCCTATATCAATAATGAAAACATATGATGGATTGGAGAATTTTCTTCTAGGCAGAATGACCTGCATTTTTCCCCTCCCATAAACATAAACAATTCACAATTTAATCAATGTGTATTTTTTTTCCGCTAGCTAAGTAAATGTTTATTATTCTTTTGTGATTAATTTTATGCAACACTCTCCTGTCACTAGATAAATACAACAGTGACAACCCCCAAAAATACAGAAAGGAGCAGAGCCACCGCCATCCCCGTGGGGTTTCGATGTTAACAAACAGAAGCTGTTACTGTGCTGTCGCAGTGAGATCTCAGGGTTAGCTTGTTACCGCTGCAGGGCCTGTCCTGTCCTGACTAATAAGGAAACAGATCACAGGGGCCCTCTCAGCCGTGGTGCTTGAGAGACCTGAGCAGAGGGGAGCCGGTAGTTTAATTGAAATACAGAAACCGCGATGAGTGCCCAGCTCTTGGTCAGGAAATACTGTCGGGTCTTCTGGAAGCCCATGCTCCGGTACAGGGCCAGGGCGGAGTGCTGCAGCATGCTGGTGGTGAGGACAACCTCACTGTAGCCCCGGTCCTGCGCAAACTGGAAGACAGTCCCCACCAGGGCTTTCCCTATCCCCCGGCCCCGGTACTCCGAGGACACACAAGTGGAGCAGCTCCAACTGCTCCTTCCGCAGGGTGCGGTCCTTGACGGGCAGAGCTCCCACCATGCCCACCATCTGCCCCTCACACTCAGCCACCCAGAAGCAGGAGTCGTGCTCAGTGAAGTAGGACTTGGTGATGTCAGACAGATCTCTGTGCAAATAGTGGGCCATAAGCTGTCTCCAGGGATATTTGGCAAGGAAACGCAGGGCAGTGAGGAGGGTGAGGCCGGCCACAAGGACCAGGAGCCAGGAACCTGAGACCAGAAATAGGACGAGGGGCACCCCAAGCAAGAGAACAAGCATTCTTGGTAGCTTCAGGATGTGGTAGAAGGTGGTGGGGACATGCTCGGCCAAGCCCTTCAAGAAGCAGCCCAGGACCCACTGGTGGTCACTCTCCTGGTATTTGCGAATGTGATAAGGAGCCATGGAAGACTTGTGTGTCTGCATCTCAAAGTTCACCAGAGAGAGCGAGGCATCCCTGCACCCCTTCCCGGCAGTCCTGGGGAAGAGAGGGGAAGCCATGTGAGAACAGACGTGTCTCCCACCTCCAGGGAACCAAAGAGCCCTGCTCAAGGGCTTGTCTTTCTGCTGCTGCCCTAGGGAGTGGGCCACAGCCAGTTGGAGAAGGTGTAGGGTCAAAAAGACCTGTATTTGATCCTGGCCCCATTCCTCTCTAGCTATGTGACCTTGGGCATGTCACTTAACCTCTCTGAGCCTCTGTTTCTTTATCTGTACAACAGGGTAAAATCAAAACATGCCTTCTGAGATTGTTCTGAGAATCTGATAAAACAACATACACAAAGCTCTGGTATATAAAGCGCCCTCCCTTCCACCCCTCTTCCCCTTTCTTCCTGGCTCTCCTCTCGGCTCCTTGGTACATTGGGTGACCCCGTGCAGCAGCCAGAGCATGGATCCCCCACCCTTCGGTCCCTCTGCCAGGGTGCATACACTGCAGGAATCCTATGTTCCCAGGCACAGGTTTCAGCGATTGCAAATGTTTAGGCTGCTGAGGGGGCGTGAGAGCAAACATCAAAACTGGCCCTGTTTTGAGCGCCGCGGGAGGACCCGGGGTACCAGGCCTCCCTCAGAGCACTGTCCTTCCACCCATGTCCACTTACCTGCTACCACCAGAGCCTCAAATCTCCAGGGTGTCCTCAGTCTGGCGTCTTTCTTCAGCCTCTGAGTGACTTGTAGGAGGGCTGGGCACGGCCCGCTCTACTCTGAGGACCAGCCCTGGAAGCCACCTCATTGGCTGGTTACTGGATATCTGTTTGTTTTGTTTGTTTGTTTGTTTTTATTGAATTTACTGGGGTGACACTGTTTCACAAAACCATACATATTTCAGGTGTAAAACGCAATAAAACGTCATCTGCACACTGCATGTGTGCCCGTGACCCCAAGCAGAGTCTCTTTCTGTCCCCATTGATCCCCCTCTGTCCACCTACCCCCCCACTTCCCTTCATACTGTCGTCTGTGTCTGCGTGTCATTTATATATATGGGTAGATGGATGGATGGATTTTGGTTAATCCCTGCACCTTGTCTTATCCAGCCCCTCACTCCCCTTCCCCTCCAAGAGCTGCTAGCCTATTCCATGTATCCAGGCCTCTGGTTCTATTTTGCTGTCAGTTTATTTTATTCCTTAGGTTCCACATATAAGTAGGATCATATGGTATTTGTCTTTCTCAAACTGGCCCCAACCCTGCCAGACTGGCAGGACAGAGACTACAATTGGTGCAGGACTCGTGCCAGCCTCTAGAGAAAGAGGCTTCCGCCGGTTAGTGCCCTGCACACATCAGGATCTGCCGGCTCCCTACTCTCCTGCATTCCCCCCTCTCTCACAGAACTTTCTACATTCTTGTGGTACTTCTCTTTTTATTTTTATTTTTTATTACGCTCCCTTGACTTTATTTTTTTACTTTTATTATTTTATTTTATTTATTGTTGAGAGTAATACAGATGTAACACCCCCGTTTTTTCCCCCATTGCCCTTTCCACCCGGCTCCTGCCCCAGGCCTTCACCACATTATTCCCTTTGCCCATGGGCAATGCATGTATGCATATAAGTTCTTTGGATATGTCTCTTTTAAAAGCAGTATCCATCCTGCCTTCTATTCAACAAAATGTATGCATAAATTGCCTGTTAATATTCAAGAAGTGTGGGTATTTATTTGTGCGCATGCCATCTTCTCCACTGTAGTATAGAGCCTCTATTCACTGATTCACAGTGTCTCCTTAGCTTTTAACTCTGGAGTTGAAGATGGACTGACCTTTCCATCTTTAGCTCCCATAAGTGCCTAGCAGAGCGTCTTGCACTTGCTCTGAATGAACATTTGTTAATTTCTGAACTAGCCTTGGAAGCTTTTCTAAGGATTTTCTAATGCAAATCCTGAGAACTGATTTTCTCAGACTCAGTCTTCCCTTCCAAATCGCTGCTTACTCTGCAGCTCTCCTCCCCTTCCTCTGTGTAGTGATGGCTGGGTCATGCCCTGGTGGTTTTGCCTCATGGCTTGGTTTGTGGATGAGAGAATGAACTGTTCTTTTAGCTCCTACACACTCTCGGGGACTCCCTTCATGGTTAATGCATTTCCTTCTGTTAAAAATATAAACACAAAAATGAATGACCCTGTTAGCTTATAGTTGTCATCTTTTGGGGTTGCTTTCAGGGCTAAGGGGATTTTTTTTTTCCATCTAAGAGAGGTCTAAATTGGTCCTATTGCCCAATGTGAACTACATGCTTTAATAAATATTAGTGCTCATGAATAATAAAACTTCCTGTAACTGTAAGGTGAGTGGCACATTCATAGACAAATATCTCACCTGTCTTTCTTGCCTGCAGTAACTTCCTCCTGGAGGAATTTTCAAATTAATGCTTTAAAAGAAAAAAAATAAATAAGGTCTCCAAAGATAGCCAAGCATCTGAAAACACTGAGAGAGAAAGTTGTATTCTCTTAAGTGTAAAATGTTTCTGAAGTGGGCACGTTTATTTATTCCTCAAATTTTATCCCCTCTTCTGACAGGCACAAATTCAAAGGTGTCCTTGTTCCTTACCATTTGTGAATGTGCCCAATCAGGTGTACTTTGGGAATTGCTGAATGTGACATTTACTGGTCTCCAGCTGATGTATACAAACAAATCTAAGTCAAACTCAATAGGGATTTCCAGTGCCAAGACCTGTGTTGATAAGTAAGGGGGGTAACGTGCGTTCAGCATTTTAAGGCAGGCCAGAACCCTTACGTGGGAGCTCAGAGGCGCAGCTGCCTTGTAGGTAGAATAAATAGGGATTTTTTTTAGTCCAAAAAACATAGGTTTCAGTCCATCCTCTAGCTATTGACTGGTCGATGACTTTGAGCAGCATGATTGCCTTTCTTTGTTCACGTTTCCTGAACTATTTAGTGAGAGACGATGTTGGTGTAAAGAATTGTTCTGGGACTAAATGAGAAGGCCTGTGTAGAGGACCTAGCAGAGCGCTTGGCTTGTAGCAAGTGACCAGTAAATAAACATTAACTGGAAGCCCCGCTTTTTCGTTTGCTGCCCTCAGCAGACTTCCTGCGAGGGGCGTGGGCATTTGAGCTGGATTTTGGAGAACGAGCGGGCTTTCAGAGCGCAGGCAGAGCTGATGGCAGAGGTCCCGGAGTAGGCATATCCGATGGTAAGATTTCTCATTACTACCCTCACTTATTAAACGATACAGTGGGCACAAGGTGGCAGGCGCCCGCTCAGCCGACCGCAGGAAGGGAGGAAGGAAGGTAGAGATACACTGATCAGGGTTCTCTCTAGACCTTTCTGTACACATTACGAGGTGAGCCACTACTCTGCTCATCTTGGTGAGTAGGCATTATGAACCACTGCCTTTTTGAGAGCCCAGTAACCATTTTATCACTTTCTTAAAACATAATAAGGATCCCCTTTGTTTCTCTTGCCTCGGACCCAGTGCCTAGCTCTGTGCCTGACTTCATTAACGGTCTCTCTCTAAAGGCCTGTTGAGTGAGTCAGTGTGGGCTTGGGATTAATTTTTCTCTTATCCGTAAGTTCATTAAGGGCAAGCCAGTTACTCTCTCATCATGAAAACTCTAAATGCTGTTCATTTCTGATATATATGGTAACTAGGGTATTTGTATGCAGCTAGTGTTTGGTCTGACTTGCTGTGTCTTCAAATGAGGCTCTTGTGGCCAAAGTCCGTTCAGAAGGGAACAGCGTTGATTTCTTTTATCTTCTTACAAAACCAACAGCAAATATATAAACTCTCCCTCCTCAGCGAAATGTTTATATGCGAGAGATACTGCCTGGGCCTGTTTCTAGACACACACTCCCCAGCCCATTAGCTGTATATTTAAATATTTCACAGACTCCATTTTTCTGCTAATTGACCTTCTGACTAAAGTAATTTGTGAACAGTAAAATAGTCGCCGAAATTAACGTGTCAATTTAATATGTTTAAAGAATATAATCAAAGCAGTTATTTTCGGCGGAAAGCTATCAGATTCATTTTAGGAAGCTAGCAAAATGATGATACTAAAAGCCCACAGAGATAGGAAACACAAAGAAACTATAGCAAAAGCCCTTTCATGAGAACAAATATGCTAATAGAAAGAAAATGTGTGAAAACTCTTCTCATTTGTAGACAGAATGATTCCACCCTCATCACGTAGAGTTTGCCACCCCCCCAACTAAGAATACTTTAGAATTTGTAAAGGTATCCCTAAATACCCCTCTAGTTATAAATATCAGAAGAAGAAAAAAGGTCCATGGCCATCTCAGTTGGGGAATGTATTTCTCATATAGGTTCTTTTTTTATGTAAAAAAAAA